ACCAATTTTTGGTTCGGTCTGTTCAAACCAAAATCATTTTGTCCAACCCTAGTCTCATCCAACCCAAGAACACGCAATATCAGTGCTGATTTCTCTAATCCAAGTCTGTGTGGGTCTTCCTCACCCTCTCTTCTCTGCCTCTTCTCCCTACCCATCAAGTCGTCTAACAGGTGCATCACTCGGTCTTCTACGCACATGCTCAAACCACTGCAAACGAGACTACTGCATCTTATATTCTATAGGTGGTACTCCCATCTTTTGCCTGATTATCTCATTCCTCAAGCGGTATTTTCTGGTATGTCCACACATCCAACGCAATATACGCATCTCTACCACACTCATCTTTTGAATGTGGCATTGCTTCACCGCCCAACACTCTACGCCATACATTAATGCAGGCCTAACTGATGTTCGATAAAATTCACCTTTCAGTCTAGTCAGCATACCTCGATCGTATAGAAATCCCGATGCACTCTTCCATTTCATCCACCCAGCTCTGATTCTATGGCATACATATCCATCTAATTAACCATCCTTCTGAATTATGGAGCCCAAGTAATGGAACATATCACTTACCGGTATCTCATTACCATCAAGAGTAATCTCACTGTTGCTACTACTTCTACCTCCACCAAACTTGCACACCATATACTCATTATTGCTCCAGCTCAGTCTGAAACTCTTGGTCTCCAATATTTGTCGTCATACTTCCAACTTTGCTTAACACCGGATTGCGTCTTATCAAACAATACAATATCGTCGGCAAACATCATGCACCATGGTATATCTTCCTAAATTGACTTTGTAAGTTCATCCATAGCTATAGCAAATAAGAAAGGACTCAATCCATAATTTGGCACACCACGATAGTAATAGGGAACTCTACGGTCCTCCCTACACTAGTGCGGACGCTTGTACTATAAGCATCATACAAATCCATGATGATACTGATATACTTACATAATATGTCTTTTCTAGTTAAGGCCCGCCAAAGGAATTCTTGAGGTACCCTATCATACGCATTTTTTAAGTCAATAAACACCATAACTTGTCTAAGAAGGTGAATGAAATTCTCATACGTTTTCGAAATCTTTGCTCAATCACTCGCTCCCACGTTTCATGGTGTGACTCATAAGCTTAATTCCTCGATATTTGGCACATTTTTGTGCATCACCCTTATTTTTAAATAGGGGAATGAGAGTACTTTTCGGCTAACTCACTGGCATTTTGTTATTTCTCCAAATCATGTTGAAGAAATGTGTTGGCCACTCAATGTGTTTCTCTCCTAAACTTCTCCAAGCCTCGACCGGCCCGTATGCCATCCGGGCCCACTGCTTTCTTCTGCCCCATTTTTATGATAGCCTCTTTAACTTCTGTTGTTTGAATCCTTCTCACGAAGTCCCAATTTACCATGCTCTAGTAAGATCATCAATACCTTGCACTTTATTCTCGTTGAACAAGGTATCAAAGTATGACCTACACCTCTCTTTTATTTTCTCGTCCTCTATTAGTACCATTTGATCAACATCATTCACACACTTAAATTTTCTGATATCTTGAGTCACACGGTCACGAAGGCGAGCAAGTATGTAGATATTTTTTTCTCCTTCCTTAGAGTCCAATTTTACATACAATTCCTTGTTCACTTTTCCTCTGGCTTTCTTCACAGCTTTCTTTACTCTTCTTCTAGCCTCCTTGTACTCCTCTATGTTCTCGTCGCTTCAACTTTTTCCCAATTTCTTATAGCATTCTCTTTTGGTTCTTATTGCTGGTTTCACATCATCATTCCACCAAAATGTGTCCTTTTTCAGTGACAGACATTGTTTAAATTCTCTAAGTATCTTTTTCACCACTTTGTTAATGGTGAACTCCATTGATAACCACACATCATCCACATGTGCGTCATTATCAATAGCCCATACATCTTCCTCCAAGTACATTTTGTGTGTCTAGCTTAGTCAATCATTTTAGTTAATTTATTTTTATAAAACTTATAAATTTTTTAAGTTTATAAAATTATTCTTATAAATACTTTTATATGTAGTATCCAATTATATATATCGGCAATCTTCTCCTTAATAGCACTACAACACCAAAAACAAGAATCCCGCCCAAACAATTATCATATCACATCCGTCCGATTTTCTTACACTTAAAAATCAACGCCTGATGGTATTTGCTTCATTTTCGTCAAATTACACATTTGCACTGAAACCTATCCTCTGTCATTTTCTCCTTCGCCTGGATGAAACCCTTGGAACTCTCTCTGGACGCACCTTGACAACACCTTTCCATGTTTCAGATTCTTTCTTCTTTTATAGAAATCATCCGAGTCCACCTATTCATGCCGTCAATGTCTAAATAATATTTGCACTCCGTCATTTTCTTCTTCTTGAATACTCTAAGTTGCAATTTGGTTAAAAATATTTGTACCTTTTGTTCGAAAAAAATAAAAATTAATTTAGATTATTGGAACTCATTAGTTATGTATGATTGTGTCAACTTTTCTTTCTAAAATGAAATATTTTATCAAGTAAAGATTATATTACTTAAGCTATTTATTAAACCATTTTGGGAACATTCAACTATTCAAGCTTGTGATATGTAACATTTCCAGCCTTCCAGGCCTCCGGGGTGACATGTTTGTCCTGTTTAACGGGTGACTAATTCTTTTGGTTTAAAGTTCGTGATATATGACGATTGACGAGTGACGACAAAAGAAATCTAGAAAAATCGTCTTTTTATTAAACTTCTACGGAGTAATATGTACTGTTATTTAACCATGAATCCACCAATTCGTTGGGTGGCTAATACTTTAATTTTATGTTCAGAGCTAATCTTTTGTTTTTATAACAATAAAAGTAACATAGTTTTTTTTAAGTTATTAAAATTCTCCCCCTCATAGTATCATACTATCATATAATACTCTCTCCCTCTATAATTTTTTTGTCTATGTAAAGTAATAAATATGTAGCTAAAGTTGTCTCTCCTATACAAATATTAACTGCACAATTTTACTTCATTATTTTACGTACAAGTTAGTTTGAACCAAACTTTATGGAACGTAAAGGATTTTAATACAATTTAAAATTATATTCTGATTAGTCTTTTGTCTCGTGCAACGCACGGGTGAAAACTAGTTATATCTATGTGTGGTCGAATAAATTTAAGATAATTATTCTAAGTATGACTAAAATTCATTCATTATCCCAATCTATGATCTAGTTAGTTTTTCCCAAAATAATGTTTAATTAATTGGTACTCCGTAATATATAAATAATGTATTTATTAAATAAATTAACAAATGATTTATGTGGACAAATATGCCATTAACCAGATATTAAAACTGAAATTAGACGATTCAGGTGATTCACTGAAATTAATTATGAAGTTCTGACTGAATAGACTGGATTTGCCGATTTGCTTATTTATGAAATACTCCCTTCGTCCCCTTAACTTTGTCCCGTTTTACCTTTTTTGTTCATCCCATTAAGTTTGTCACATATCATATTTGGTAATATTTGAGTGGTTAGATTGTTAGAATTCATTCTTACTTTATTCACACTTCATTAATTTAATATCAATCACACAATTCTATTTTTCTTAAGAACCACACCCCTTTGTCCCAAACTTAGGGGGGCGGAGGTAGTAGTAAATTAAAATATACTGGTATTTATTTATAAAATAAAGAAAAACATTTAAAATGATCCTCTATAGTAACTTTAGCCAAACTAGTTACAAAAGTAACTCCAACCTTACTTATTTTGATAATCACACAATTCAGCACGTGAAATCAAAAGTTACGTATTTGATATTTTTTTCACTGATAATAAGGTTAATAAGGTGAATAACATGATTACCAAACATGTTGTAATTTTATTAAAAGAGTTGTATATATTTTTCTTCAAAATGACTAGACAGTTAAGGATGCTTTCTTTTAAACTATTTTCGGTCTCAGACCAGATCAAGCCGGATTAGACCAAACTTAATTTAAACAGATTAGAGCAGATCATATTTAAATTGACGGGATCAAACTAGAAACAGACATTTATAAATATATAGAGACCAAACCAAATTAAATCAAACAGGATCAACAAATTTGAATCCAAGAAAAAACACGCTAGTAAGGTTACATACTAGTAGTACGGAAAATGTTCTTGTAAGGTATGACTAAAAATTGTAAACGTAGTCCTCTTTCATTTGGGGGGCTTCCGGATTTAATTTGTTTATGATATTTTCTGAGCATTTTCTCCATGAAGTGTACACTATGCCCACCAAATTTCAGATTAAAATTCAATCGGAAAGTTGGTTAAATATATTTTTTTTCAAAATTGAGCAGGTTTTTATATATACAAAATGCAGTTTTTTTTCAAAAATTTATTTAACTAACTTCCCGATTGAATTTTATTGTGAAACTTGGTGAACATAATCCGCAATTCATAGAGAACATGCCCACAAAAATTCATCAAAAAAACTAACTTGGAAGCACCTCAAAATTACAACTCTTAGTTCTACCTTACTTGAACATTGTTCCTAGTACTACTACTTATGTAGTAGTTCCGAGATAGGCCATTTGGTTTTGGTCAGTTTTTTTTACTCACATGCATTGTCGATCTAGCTTCTTCGGTTCTTCCGTCAACAGACCCGCTTTTTTCTTCTTTTTTTCGTTCTCATCATTTTGATTGCCAAAGAAGCTAATTGAACCGATGCATTTAATTTTAAAAAATATATAATTACTTTCAATACAGAACATTTCATTTTTAGAGGTGGTTTAAGATCATTATTTATTTATTTTTTTATGAATAATTCTCATTTCAGACTATCTGACCTTTTTAGAATTTATTTAACTTTAATTAGATACATTGTTGTACTTCGAAATATTCTTAATGAGAACAACTAATCACTCTACATAATTGCAATACTTTGCTAAGCCATTTTCCCGCCCAAGACATTTCCGCTCTTCATTCCCGCTATTCATTCATTTATTTACGCGATCATCCGCAGAAAATGGGGGGGTAAGTCCTAAGAGAGAAGCTGTGCGATGTCGAAATATAACGGTAGAGGAGCTTTGATTTCTAGCCTGTCTCCTTTTTCTCACCTTTCTCCAAAATCATTTGGCTTCAATCGCCAAGTATCCCAGTTCGGATTTGCCCATATCTTCCATCGGGTGAGAAATTACTCTTCGTCATCTTCTTTGCAAAAAACTCTGCCACCAGGTTTCATCTGCAAAAACCTTCATCTATTCGCTTCATCTGAGAAAGCCTTCATCTATTTGCTTCTAATGGTCGACAAAATTAAAGTTTTTCAAAACTAGATTTTGTTTCATATGTTAAATTTCACTTCGAATTTGTAACTGTTGTGGTTTTCTATGTTTTTGAGAAATTAGAGTTTTCAAAGTTAGGGTTTGTTTCATAATTAAAATTTTGATTTTGAATTTGTCATTTATGGGAATTTATATGTTGCTGAAATAAACCACAACTGTGTGTGAATAGTCCAGGCCCTCTCCTCATCAACAAAAAAGTTGTCTTTGTTGCTATGAAATTAATTTCTAGCAGTGAATCTCCAAGTATATGGCCATATCAAATAAGTTATTTATCACACTATAAGTAAATGAAGATTTAAAAATTTAGTCACGTTATACAAAGACTTTGAACAGTGTGTGGTTTTTAAACAGTTTCACATTTTCTGTAAAGCAAATCTAAATGCACCAGAATGACTAATGGTCATGATTTTTAATGGAATGATTCCGTCCCAGACTGATGATTTTTTGTTTGTAGCATTTAGCTACAAATAAATTTAGTCCAAAACAGCTAATTTGGTTAAGACTTCAATCATGAATTCAAGTTCAAGTAATACTCCATCTTTGTTACTTCAAATTTACATTTGTTCAGTCATATAAGCTTTCTTCTGAAGTATGTAACACGCTTGAAAGAAATGAGCTTTATTAGGGAAGATTTGGTCTTCGGTGTTCACAGTGAAGATGTAATTTTTAGTTTATATTTTTATATTTCTTTCAGTTGCAAGTTATCTAAGTAACATGTCACTGATCACATTTCCGTGCATATCACAATATATAGTAGCACACTCTTTTTGTTTAGTAAAGAAGTGAAACTGTGAAACATATCTATATTTTATCTGATATTATACATTTGAAAACAGGGTACAGATTCAGGAGCGAACACATATTTTTGTCTTTGCACCTATCCTGGTCGAGAATCGCATTGATATCAAGCTAAGTTCATGAACTCTTCTTTTATCAGGTGAAGTATAAACTAATATAACTAATCCCTTAGGAGAACACCAGTCCACTTAATCTTAGGTTTGAGATACTTAGCGAACAAATTTATCCGTTTTTCTTTTTTATTGCTAACATCTTATTTTCTTTTATTTTCTTCAAAATAGTTTTGGCCTAGACTATAAAAGTCTTAATTATTTCCTTACGTACGCTTGGTCTGATGTATAGGATTCTTGAGGGTTTGTGACTATTTGCTCTAAGATATCTCCATTGAACTTTTGAGAATCATCTGGGAAAGGTTCATCAATAAGTTAAGCAGTTTAGTTTCAACACACACACATATATACAAGAATGCCTCTAGAAGAAAAAAAAAAGAATGCCTCCAGAAAAAAAAAACTTTTAACAACATCCAGAGAACATAATAGCCAAGTGCCCAAGTAGAGCTAAATTGATAGCCACGATGTTGTTAACAGGACTAGCTCTACTTGGCTTGATTTTTCTTTTGGTTGTAAACAAATTAAGTAATGATTTTTGTATCTTAAGAAAAAAGTATTTTGGTTTAGAAGATATATACTCATATCTATACTTTAATGGAGGACTTTGAATTAGATGATAGAAAAAATTTCCATGGAGAATGCCAAAGACCTACGTCAGGCTTAAAAGAAGAGTAATAACCAAAATCGGAAGCTTAGAAGGTTAATACGAAACCTTTTTTCTGCAAAACTATCATTTTCTCAAGAAAATGAGAAAACTACTGAAGATTATACGCAATTTAGTCTTTTTTCTGAAGTACACATTTACCTTATCTTTTCATTACATAATATGCCTAAGAAAAAGTGTATTGACAAGGTTTAGGACTAAAGGATACTGCCAGGATTGAAAATTTATTTATTTTTCGATTCTGATTTGATATTATTGAGAGTTAATACCCGATTGTGTGTGTACTATCACTTAAGTTGCCCTTAACTTTTTATTGGACTTAATATAGTTATTGACTCAACATAGTCGGGTACCAAATTGATTGAGGATTGATCTCAGTTTATCTATTTTTCCTTCATTTTATCTCTTTTTTTCTTTTAGTCATTTTTTCTTTTTAATCATTTTTTTATATCTTTCTTATCTTCTTTATCTTTTTATCTTATCTTATCTGTTTTTTATTATCTTTTCAGCTCCGTTTTCATATACCAATTCATGTTAATCGCCTCCAAATTCTTTTGGGACTTTTCTTGGATGTTATTGGTACCAAATTGAGTGAAGGTGTATAGCACTCCAACAATAACAATATAATAGCACTACATAATAAAAAATATCATTTCCTGCCCGCGGTTTAAAACATCTCAGTTGCACGATTTAAGTTATCCATCATTCCAGATCTACGGTTTTAGAGACTGATTATATCCGTAAAGTTTTAACTGTAAATCTATGAAATTCTTCCAAACGAGAAGACACTAATTCTTTTATATGGTTCTTTATCCTATATTTAATGGCATCATTAGCATTAGTTTACATGATTATGTATTCCCTACCTGAACAAGTGATTGATTTGATATCTAAGTTTTCAATGGGTTTGGGCTGTTTGGGGTTGTTAGATATTTAAAATTGGAAGTAGATGTAGCCGGTATCAAAAGCATGGATGCTTAGCTGAGTTTAAAGTATCCTATATTTAGTGCCATCATTAGCATTAGTTCACACATTTATATATTCCCTACCTGAATATACACTTCACAGCTACTGCTCTTTGGTTATCTTAATTCTTTTTTTTTTTGGTTATCTTAATTCTTAAGTGCTATTGATCCTCTCTTACCTCCATATACTGTGTGAAAAAGCATTACGTAGTATTAAAGAAGCTGTTAAATTTTAAGTTGGTGGCACTTCCTAACAGTTGGGTGTGACCAACTGTTAGTTAACAATATAATAGCACTACATAATAAAAAATATCATTTCCTGCCCACGGTTTAAAACATCTCAGTTGCACGATTTAAGTTATCCAGGATTCCAGATCCACGGTTTTAGAGACTGATTATATCCGTAAAGTTTTAACTGTAAATCTATGAAATTCTTCACAGCTACTGAAAGTTTTATTTGTTAATATTTGTTAATATTTAAGTTTTATTTGATCCCCATTGGAGCAGTACGATCAAAAGGTTTCACATAAAAGTGTACAAATAGTTAAAAAAAAAGTTTTACGAGTTTATCTTTATTTTGTTTAGTTTATTTAATTTCCATTCTTCATTACTCATTAGTTGTAATATATATTTCCTTATTTTTAATAAAGTTTCTTTTTCTAATAAAGTTTCTTCTTCTTCATTGGCAAACATGCTAGACACACCGATTGACAACCTCTTTATGCTTGATTATTGAGAAGACTACATGTGTTGTAATCTTAGCATGTGAGTGGAAACTACGTATATTACGGAGTAATATGGTTAAAATCCTTATATAGCTTTACATTTCAGAAAAACCATTTTGCAAGTTTGCAACTAGAGAGTATCATTTTTTTCTACACCTATCAGCTCATCAGCTGGGCACCATGGTTGATTGAAAGTTTTGTTTATTGGATCATAGGAGTCCTAGCAGATGATGTTTGGGGATCCTCATTGCTTTCTATTTTAAATCTACTAATATTATTCTGATTTTGCAAAACCCATTCATTCTTGCAAACAAAACTTCGTTTGTATTTAAAAACCTTTTTTAGTGTGTTACTCTCTGAAATATCAAATTTTGATGAAATCTTAAATGGGACATTACTGACTCAAAATGTATGTATATTAGATTATTAGATGATCAAGTATATGACCTTTTTTAATTAATATTTATATGGCTGGTGGGTGGTTATTTGGGACTGATTAATTGTAAATTTTTACGTGTGTTGGTAGAGATGTCTACAAATATACTATATAGGTCCCACTAAGTTTGAGACAATTCGATTTACGATGTTTGACCGACAATATATAAAGTAATCAGATCCCTGTCGCACTCAAATTAATTTTAGGAAAAAATTATATATATACAGAAACTACATTAAAATCCTTACAAAGTCGCAAAAACCAGAATCAAATTTGATAAAAATTTGATATATAAAGTGATCAAGAGTGATTTGTGTTGACCAAGTGAATAGTGTCTGGGACAATCTTAGCGGGACGGAGGGAGTAACATTTATAAATAGGGAGAATATGACGTTCACCGCATTTTGGGGCAATATTTGACTTCGTAATGATTTTGTGAATTCCAAATTATATAGATGTCAACCAAAAAGACGATCAAAATGATGTTATCAGTGCCTCCTTAGATGAGCAACCCGCATTTTATGGTTCATAATTAAATATTTGTTAAATCAATATAAACCTAATAGTCTCAATGAATAGCATCTACACATATGTATACACATAATGCTAATACAGTTTTTCCATGTTGTTGACATATAGAAGATGCTGAATATGCAAGTTGTTCAAGTGAAGGTATTATTCAATTCTGAATGTTGATATATCTAATTTCCAACTAAATATTAATACTATGTGTGGATTACAACATAGTACAAAAGAAAAGAATTAAATACTTGAGCAACCACATCACTATCTTTGAGACTCATATGCACTAATTTATCTTGCAATCATTTCAGCCTATGCAGATCTGGGGACTCATCTTATGATTGTGAATTTTGTGGCGCTTTGTTTTAAGGCGAAGAAAGAATAAAGAAATGTTTCCGGGGCTTAGTTGTAATATTGAAGACTGAAGATGGATTCCTGAGGGACGGTGATGATGGAGAATCAATGGTTGACATCCTTGAAGAATTTATTGCTCCTATGACAGATGATCCAATTGAAGCTATTGTTAAGATCACCTATCCCGATTTTGAAATGCACTGTAATTATGTTTCTTATTTGAATTCCAGGGCAATTCTTGCGCCAACCACCGATGAGCGCGACATGATCAACGATTACATGTTGGGATTAACTCCAGGTGAGGTAAAGACATACTTAAGCTCAGATTCAGCATCTTCTTCTAACTCAGACAGTGCACTCCTTCAAGAGATCTATTCTCCAGAATTTCTGAATACCATTAAATCATTAAATGCTTTGGTGTGCCAAGTCATGAGCTGAAGCTGAAAGTGGGTGCACCTGTTATGCTAATGGGGAATATTGATCATTCCTCCGGATTGTGTAATGGCACTCGCCTCATCGTCACTAAACTCGGAACCCATATTCTCGAGGCTCAAATGATGTCTGTAATAAATGCAGGGAAAAAATTTCTTATTCCGAAGCTTAGCTTGACTCCATCTGACCTAAAGCTGGCGTTCACATTTCAGCGTAGACAGTTCCCTTTGATACTTAATTACGCGATGACCATTAATAAGAGTCAGGGACAGTCTTTGGAGAGAGTTGGTGTTTTCTTACGTCGCCCGATTTTCACCCATGGACAACTTTACGTTGCGATCTCAAGAGTGACGTCCCCGTCTGGGTTGAAGTTTGTTATATATGATGATGATGGGAACCGGCCAAGAAGACTCTACATGTGGTTTACAAGGAAGTATATAATAATTTGTAATTTTATTTATATTTATTTACTTTTGTTACAACAACATATACATTGATTTTTATTTATCCCAACATTTCTTTATATTCTCAAATTTTTTATTGCTTACTACCTGCATCCCGTGCGAAGCACGGGTGAAAATCTAGTTGTATACTCTAAAACTAAGTACATAAATTATTACAATTTTTTGCCACAAAAAGAAAGTAGAAAAGAAAAAACCAATGATTTTTATTTATGGAAAAAATAAATCGTTAGTGGGCATCTAAAAATGAAATAAAAAATGTTGTATATTTGATTATTTGATCCACTGAAATTTCAGTGGCGTATATTAGATTTGTGTATAATTTTATGTCGAATTTTTCCCTTCTCAATATATTGTACTCATTTTGTTTTGATTATATTTTTAATAATTACGCTTTGTCTATATGTTTTAATCTCGTCATCTTTCCCTTCTTTCATAACTTTTACTAACTAAAAAGTTCATGCATATTCCCTATGATTTCAATTTTACTTGTCACTTTTAATCTCGCATATAAACCAGCAACAATTATGTAAAGACATGTCGAATGCACAAAATATGAAAAAAGTGAGGTCAAAGGAAAATTTGGGAAAAAGAAAATTGTAAATTAATAAAGAATCATTTTATACAACGTGTCTCATAATTATATTAATCAATTTCGTCAAAGAACTGATGAAAATAAAGAAGGTGAAGATAATGCACGAGTCGAAAACAACTGTTTTTCTTGCCAAAGTTGACTGGGAAAAAATGAGATCCGAATGACCTCTTCAAACTTAAGCATTTAAATTTCTGTTGAAATTTGAATACTGGGGCGAAGTATGAAATCAAACGAATTTATTATAATCACTAGCGTTTGCTCGCGCAAGGCGCGATAGTTTTTGCCCAATGTTGAAGTAATGTTAATTTTCTAAATAATTATTCTATGTGAGATTGTTAAAGTTATTGTGAATATTTTATGACATGACCTATATTTATCATAAATTGCTGATACTATATTCCCTGCCAACCAAGAATTGTGTAAAAAATATGCCTATATTATTTAAAAGTATGTGAGTTGATTGTATTTTTTGTTTGAGTATACTAGTATACTACGTATGATATAGTTGCAATTGATAGTTTTATAATGATTTGTGACAATGTTCTAATATAATTTGATACCTTATATTACGTGGATATTGAGTTGGTATAAGTGAAGCCGTTGGGTAAATTTTAAAGTACAAAAAACTTTTTTGATCAACGGTGTTCCATAAGCAATTTTTTTATCTCAATCGGTTCACATACTCGTAGTATATATCGTCCAATTAAAAACATCCATATACCGTGCTTGAGTGTTACACCTGTCATACACATTATACCGTTTCTTCTATCAACAATGTTTGATGTACTCACTCTTATATCCACCATGTTTGTGAAGTGTTTTTTTTTTCTGTGAACCCGGCTTACAGACAATATTTTGTTTGTGCAAAATATTGTCTGTGAATCGGGGTTCACGGACAAAAAAAACACTTCACAAACATAGGTGGATACAAAGACGGGTATAAGAGTGGGTACAAACATCATTTTTGTTCTTATATTATCTCTAAGACTTATTTACTTCAATGACCTATATTTAAATTTTATTCATTTTCTCAATGATTCGTTGAGGTTAATGATTCGGTGGACTTATGGAGAATTGAGAAGTACACGGGGGTGAGTGTATGTATGCTCGTCTGGCCTGTTGATATGTGAGCACCAAGTAGCTCACCTTAATGATATGCACTCAACTTTGGGTTCACTGAAAGCATCAACGAGCTTCTTACATTATCAATTGCACTTAACAAACAGAGGCATACCTGCAGCCCCATTATAATATTGAAGAGCACAAATACGTATTACTGTATTAGTAGTTCATGCTTTACACTTCCCAAGGCTATACCTTTAAAAGGTAAAAATTAAAGAACATAGGGACAAATTAAACTAAACTAAAGACATACATGTCTGAATCTGCATTCACACAAAAATACAACCGGCACTTTTGTTGGAACGAATGGAATAATTTGGGAGAATTGTCTTTCTTGATTCTATTAGCAAAATACAAGAGTATTTATACAAGGATTAATACAATCAAAGCCCTTGGCCCAACATTACATTTATACACAAGTAAACTAAAGCCCAAACCGGTACTAACACCCCCCCTCAAGTTGGAGCATGCGGATCAAAAATGCCCAACTTGCGAAGTAAATAAGAAAATTGTTTCTGTCCTAATGCTTTGGTAAATATATCGGCCAGCTGATCTGTGGTAGAAACATGTTGAGTAGTGAGCAATCCATCCCGAATGGCGTCACGAACATAGTGACAATCAACCTCAATATGTTTGGTACGTTCATGAAAAACGGGATTGTGGGCAATATGAAGAGCAGATTTACTATCACAGTGCAAAGACATCGGACCTGGGAGAGTGACGCCTAGAGTCGAAAGAAGACCTTTAAGCCATTTCAATTCTGCCGTGAGAGCAGCCATAGAACGATATTCGGCTTCAGCAGAAGAACGAGACACGGTATGCTGCTTTTTAATCTTCCAAGAAATAGGAGAATCACCAAGAAAAACCATTCAACCAGTAAGAGAACGCCTAGTGAGAGGGCAACTGGCCCAGTCAGAATCACACCAACCGTGGAGAGAAAAATCACACGTGGTACGTAGCAAAATACCCTGGCCCGGAGTACCTTTCAGGTAACGGACCACTCGCAGAGCTGCATCCCAATGTTCTTTTCGTGGAGCCTGCATAAACTGTGACAGAGTATGAACAGCATAGGCTAAATCAGGGCGAGTAAAAGAAAGATAAATGAGCCTGCCCACAAGACGTCTGTATGATGCGGGATCAGACAATAGATCACCCGTAGCCAGAGATAACGTATGATTAGGTTCCATAGGGAAGGAAACCGGCTTAGATCCAAGAAGTCCAATCTCAGAAATAATATCCAAGGCATATTTGCGTTGGCATAAGAATAGCCCCTCGGTCCCACGTGCAACTTCAATACCGAGAAAATATTTAAGAACCCCCAGATCTTTCATGTGGAAGCATGAATGCAAATATGATTTGAATTTAGATAAAACAGTAGAGTCATTACCACTGACAATCAAGTCATCCACATAAATAAGAACATGTAACTGAACCTGCTCCTGACGAAGAATAAATAATGAGTAATCAGAATATGACTGAATAAACCCATATTGGCGCAAAGAATGCGCCAATTTAGAAAACCAGCATCGAGGTGCCTGACGAAGACCATAAAGAGATTTTGTCAGACGACAAACAAGACCAGGCCGTGAGGAATAAAAGCCAGGGGGAGGTTTCATGTAAACCTCCTCATGTAGATCACCATGCAGAAATGCATTATGAACGTCCATCTGGTGTAACTCCCATTTCTTTGCCGCGGCCACAGCTAAGAAAGCCCGAACAGTAACCATCTTGGCAACGGGTGCAAATGTCTCGGTGTAATCAATACCCTCCTGCTGATGATTCCCGAAAACGACCAATCTGGCCTTCAGACGTTCAATAGTACCGTTAGAATGGTACTTAATTTTGTAGACCCATTTACACCCAAGTGCCTTTTTACCAGAAGGAAGCGGTTGCATGGTCCAAGTCTTATTAGTTTCAAGAGCCTGGATTTCATTCTGCATGGCCTGTCGCCAACCTGGATCAGCCATAGCATCTTTAAAAGAGCGGGGTTCGTGACCTGCAAGTATAGCACCAAGAAAATCCCGATGGCGGGAAGAATATTTGTCACATTTTATATAAGGTGCTATAGGGTAGGAAGTACCTGAGGAGGGACCGGAGCCAAGTGAAGACGGAGATGGGCTCATGACAACATTATTGGTGACAAAATCACGAAGCAAAACCGATGTCCTTTTGGCACGTAACCCGCGGCCCAGAGCAGGAGAGTGCTCGTGTTCGGTCATGGCTGAGGTCGAAGGAGGAGTAGTGTCAGGGGCTGTTTGCATGGGTGGAATAGTATGCGAGGGCTCAGCATCATACAACGGGGTGGACACGTGAAGTGGAGGCATGGCGTGCGCAGGGTCGGGTGTAGAACCCAAGAGCCGAAATGGAAATTCGGTCTCATGAAACTTTACACCCCGGGACACAAATATATCACCGGTATGCCAATCATAGAGCTTCCACCCCTTCTTCCCGTGGGGATAACCAACAAATACACATTTGCGACTACGAGAGCAAAATTTATCACTTCTAGAAGCAGGATTATGCGCAAAGCAAAGACAACCAAAAATACGTAAGTGATCAAATGCCGGTGTGACCCCGGTAAGAACTTCGTACGGGGTCTTGCCTCCCAGGAGTCCGGACGGTGTCCTATTAATGAGATACACCGCCGTGAGCACACACTCACCCCACAACTTCACGGGCACATCAGCTTGGAACATTAAGGCTCGGGCCACATTTAAAATATGCCTATGTTTACGTTCCACCCGCCCATTCTGTTGCGGTGTATAAACACACGAAGTTTGAAACAGAATTCCATGATCATTAAAATATGGCAACATGCAATTGAATTCTGTTCCATTATCACTACGCACAATTTTGACAGACACTTCATATTGTTTTTCAACCATAGCAAAGAAGGACTGAAAATACTTATGAACCTCCGTTTTATCCCGAAGCAAATAAACCCAGACAGCCCGAGAGTAATCATCAACCAAAGTGAGAAAATAAATGGCATCACAGGTAGAAGGGGTTTTATAAGGACCCCATAAATCAACGTGAATTAATTCAAGAATTCGGGTAGCTTTATTATTACTAAGAGGAAAAGAATCTCGGACTTGTTTAGCTTGGGGACAAACTTCACAAGCTTTATTCAATTTCTTAGGAACAGTATTAGTAGAAAAACACGGTAATAACTTTAGCACCCGATCTGAAGGATGACCCAAACGGTGATGCCACAACTCAAATTCTGTCAGACCATCCCCTTGAACCGCATGCAGTGTAGGTAATCTTCTTAAGTAGAACAGCCCATCTCGCCTCTCACCGGCTCCAATCAGGCTCCTCGAGCGTAGGTCCTGTATAGCAGAAAGAATATTAG